GGAAGGAAAGGTCTCTGCCTGCAAGGATAAGCCTCCCCCCAGGGCGAGGTAGGGGTCAGGGGGAGCCAACTGACAGGCCCTCCTCCAAATAAACCCAAGAACATTTTCTAACAGGGAAAAAGAAAACCTTTAAAAAGTGGGTGGGGGGCCCTCTTGTGCTTTCTGGCAGCGCCCAGGTGGCCGCTGGCTCTCTTGGGACCCTCTCCCACCACCCGGCAGCCTCTCCTACGGCCCAGTTTCTTAATTAAACATTTTTCTTGGTTACTGCGGGGCAGCAAGGTGCCTTTTTAAAAATTCAATTTGTTTATTATTAGACTTGCAGACTGCCCCCTTTAGGGTGATGCACTATTCCAAATGGTCGTTAGCCTCTCTGGACCCACAGCCAGGGGGTTGTGGGCAGCCAGGCTTGGGTCACTGGAGACAAGAGAGGAGGAGGAGGAGGGAACCTCCCTGCCAGGGAGCCACCGGCCTGCCTGCCCGCCCGCTTGCCCGCCCCTCTCCTTGGCCTGCACCTACCTCTGCTTGGGGTCCTTCTTCAACAACCCAGCCAGCAAGGCTTTGGCCTCGGGGCTGAGCGTGCGTGGGAACCGAATCTCCTCCATGAGGATGAGCTCGAAGAGGCGCTCGTGGTCCTGGTTGTAGAAGGGGAGGCGCCCGCACATCATCTCGTACATGACCACGCCCAGGCCCCACCAGTCCACGGCCCGCCCGTAGTCGTTGTCCTCCAGCACCTAAACAATTGGGGGGGGGGAGACAAGGAGATGGGCTCTGTGTCATCTCGAGGGCGACAGGACAGCTTTGTTTCTGGTGCAAAGGGCAGGAATTTTTTTTTTTTTTTGTGGGGGGGGCGTTGACTCAACACCAGTCAGACCAAAGGTTGTACTGGAATGATCCACCATTTAGCAGCTGCCAGAGGAAAGAGGTCCGAGAGAAGCAGGGGCCAGCCCATCCCAACCCACTTGTCGTTTCAGATTTTCGCTCTGGCAGGGCTCTTTCCTGGGCAGCCGCTCGCAACCCCTTCTCTCCCTCTCTTCCTCCCTGCCTGTCTGGGACATGCAGCGCTTGGAGGCCTTCGTCTTGACCAAGGAGGGCTTCTCCCAGTACCTCGGGGGCCAGGTACTCCGGCGTCCCGCAGAAAGTCTTCATCGTGGCTCCGTCGGTGATGCCCTCCTTGCACAGCCCAAAGTCTGTGATTTTTATATGTCCGTCTTTATCCAGCATCAGGTTTTCCAGCTGGAAGGTACGAAAAGAAGGATCAGGTGCCCATTAAGAAAGTCGGATCCAACCAGCAAAGAATCCACCCAGGCAAGGGCAAAGTTCCGCAGCCTTACCTTGATGTCGCGGTAAACAACGTCCCGGGAGTGGAGGTATTCCAGGGCGGAAACAATTTCAGCCCCATAGAAACGGGCCCGATCCTCTGTGAAGACACGCTCTCTTGAAAGATGAAAAAAGAGCTGGATGGGAAAAAGACAGAAGGAGAGAACGATCAGCCAATGCAAAGAGGGATTGGGGCCGAGCGGCAGGGCTGGGCGGGAAGAGCGCCTGCAGTTGGGCTCACCCGGGGCAGCTGCCAAGGATGAAGGGAAGGCCAAGCGGCAAACGCCCAGGGCAGACACAGGCCCCAGCCGGTTTCCCCTTC